AGAATCACTCTTGCCAACAAGTGCTACTTTGGACTGAGTAGGCAATTCAGGAGTAAAGTCCTCTCTCGACGTACGAAAACCACGCTCTATAAGTCACTCAGAAGCATGGACAATGACAACATCCGATGACGCGGCTCTTGGAGTGTTTGAAAGAAAGATTTTGCGGAAGATTTACGGGCCTTTACGCGTTGGCGACGGCGAGTACCGCAGACGATGGAATGATGAGCTGTATGAGCTTTACAACGATATGGACATAGTGCAGCGAATTAAAATACAGCGGCTCCGTTGCCTTGGTCATGTCGTTCGAATGGACACCAACGCTCCAGCTCTGAAAGTATTCAACTCGGAACCCGCTGGTGGTAGCAGAGGATTGGCGTTTCCAATTGGCGTCAGTTGGAACAGAGGAGAAACGACTGGCGTGCTTTGCTGAACTCGGCCAAAATCGCTTAGGCTGAACCGCCTCCAGATGGTCGCTAACTAAACACGTATTTAGTGCACCTATAATAATTTTTTCTATATTCGAAAAGCACGATCTTTAAAAAAAACGTACCTTTACGACGATGTAAGTTTTAATCCGTTATGTCAATCCGTTTTATTTTAATCGGCAGTTGAATCACAGATTGTGAGACTCGGTTAAAATTAATTATTTCTTGCTATTAAGTGATTTCGTAATTAAAGAAATTTTTTCTTTTGAAAATTTTTTGTGATACAAAAATATTCAGTGGGTTTCGTAGTTAAAAGCACAGTATTTTTATATAAGTTTTATAATTATGTCACCATTCGAAATGGAGAAAATTGCTTTCGAACACAGACAGTCTACAGGCCGGCTTGCCGACATATAAAAACCCAGTTTGCATTTTTGACCGTCTGCAGATAGGATTGCCGGTTCGTAGGTCAACATTGTGTAAGAGAAAGCTGAAAATACGTCAAAGTATATCGGCGAGCCCGTCTCCAGACGGTCTTGGTGTTTCTCCCCTATAGGAAAAAGTTACTGTCACAAATCGAAATGGACATCATTTTTGGATTTCTCGTGCTAAAATCACCCATTCCTGAATTTTTCAACTCATACAAAAATTGGCCTACTGGAGGGTTAATTTGTTCATACGATAGTACGGCAATTTGCGCAACTAAGTTCCAATTCGGCATTTTAATATGACAGCGCATATTGGACATTTCCATCAGTTATAGTTTAGGCCGGTGTTATGCAGAAATTTTGTTTGGCAAACTGCGTGCAATTGTTGTTGCAGCAAACTCGGAGAGAGCGAGTTTGGCGACTCTCACAGCAAACTAATTTTGTTTGGTCAAACTGCAGCAAATTCGGTGTTGTCATATACAAAAATTTTAAATTTTGCGCGTTATGTACATCTGAAATTCTCATTTCGTGTTGGCAATAGCCATGAAAACCATAATGAACGTGCAACCCTGTGCCAAACTCGACATAACCACCTCCGAGCAAACTAAGCAGCCGCCATTTAATTTGGCAAACAAAAGTTTGTCTGCATAACACCGACCTTAGAAATAAAAGAGGCTGGTGCTTTGCATTAAACCAACTTGGAACTCAGTCCTACTGTCAAAATTCATTTGAATTGACAGCAGGCTGCACGCACCTTGAAAGTCAATTTTACTTTAAAGATGCCGTCTTCAAGTTCTTGATCGTGTATTTTGGGGGGTTACCGCAATTATCGACATGTTATCGCGTGGCGATAATTGTGTGTCATGGTTTTACAAAAATAGTGAATTCGTAAACATTTACGGATAAGAAAATAGGAAAATTTGTTAAACATTAAGCAGAATAGAAGTTTAATATAGTCAGCGCATATCCCAAATTACTTAAAAGTTCCCCACAAAAAATAATTTAGTACTTGCGTATGTCGGATATACTTATGAATATGACAGAATCTTGTACATTTGGTAGAGATAATTTTATTGCTGAGGAATGGAAAAATTGGTGCCGTCTCTGTGCAAGGGCTAATTCTCAATACATAAACATCATATCCGCACAGAGTCAGCTAAATGCGATAAATAATAGCGGCTACGATTGCAGTACTATTGCTCCTTTTATAGAGGACTTCTTTCGGGTTCATGTAAGAAAAACATTTCGAAACAAAATAAGTACATGCATATGTACATATGTATTTAATTGCTTTTTTTTAGATTAAAGAGGATGAAAAACTCTCGCAGTTGGTTTGTACAGAATGTTATCAAGTAATGAATTCTATAATCAGATTTAAAGAGCGGGTAAACAGGGTTCAGCAAATGTACGACGATTTACAATGTAACAAATACCTAGGCAAACTAAATTCAAGTGCTTTGCATGAGAAATACGAGTTAATTGAAAATGAACCATTTTTAATCCCTTGTGCCACTAAACTTCCAGTTGAAGAAATTTTCGTTGCCGATTTGCCAGTTACAAATGCTTCTCAATCATCAGAAATCGAAATAAAAAGTGAGAGAAATACTGACGAAATGCAGACGGATGTTCTTGCAGCTGAGTTAGAGAAAATAGATGAATTCAAAGATCCATTTGGCGATGCAGAAAGTAATAGCGATGACCCAGATTATTCGCCGGTGGGAAGTAGTGACGATGAAGATAGTGATGAAGATTTTGAAGTAAAAAAGGAGGATTCAAAAAACGTTACAAAAGAGTCGGAAAAAATCTCGGATGCGTCTACACATGGCTTGGAGTATAACTACTCTTGTAAAATGTGCTCTGAAAGTTTTAAGTATATTAGGGATTACGGTGGTCATATGAAAAAGGCACATGGTGAAGTAATTTGTCCCCATTGCCCCGATTCATTCAAAAACACTTATAAATTGAAGTCGCATATGAAAGTTCACCCAAAGTCATTTTCCTGTTCACATTGCGATAAAAGTTTCGCAACAAGACAACGTTTAGAAAGACATATAAAATGTAAGCACGTGGCTCGGCCATCGCTTATTTGTGAAGTATGTGGTGTGACTTTGCTCACAAAAAAACAACTATCAGACCACATGTTACAGCACACTGATTATGCGCCATTTGAATGTAAGGTTTGCGGTGGATGTTTCAAATTGAGAAGTCGTTTAAAGGTAATAAATATGTACACACATTAGAACGCAAACATATATGTAAATGCTTTTAATATCATTTTCCAGAGGCATATGCAAATACATGGAGACAAGCTTATTTGTCCAGAATGTGGCAAACAGTTGAGCTCGCGAGCTACTCTCAAGAGTCATTTATTGGTACATTCCGATAAGATGTCTCATAAATGTGACTTTTGCGGCCGTCTCTTTAAGCGGCCAAATACATTGAAAAACCACATAATTGCCCATACTGACCTCAGACCTTACAAATGCGACTTTTGTGATAAATGTTTCTCTACTGGGCCAAGTTGTCGTTTTCATAAAAAAACTATGCATCCGATGGAATTAGCTGCGCTGGAAGCAACAGGGGCTAAAGCTTATACCAAAAATATCCCTAAACTACACGTACTAAAAGAAGTGTAAGTTATGCAAGGACCTGTCTTATTTTGAAGGGTTAAATTATAATATCTATTTCAATTAACTCAAGGTCGAAAATGGGCAAAAACTTGAAACCACTGGCATCGAAACAAAATGGTTTTGCACATTTCGATAAGGAAATACAACAAAAACCTGAGGCTACAGATACACAGCCGACAGTCGATACAACAAGTTTATAATAAGTATAATTCTAGAATATAACTGCAATTAAAAACAATTTTATATTTTCCAGTTAAGCCGAAGGAAATTCTTAATACACTTATAAAATACATCCTTTCGTTTTGAAATAAAATCTAAGTCTATGCTATGTAAATGTTTAGTTATATCTATGTATTCGTCGTTATAAATAATTTTACTAATTAGTGGTTTAGATGTGGACATTGTAAACATATGCATTTATTTTGACAAAGTAATAGGCGCGCTTTCCTAAAAGAGCCTGTGTATCTTTGTGTTTAAAGCAAAACATATTTAAAAAATTCAAAATTTCTTCACCATTAATTAAATTTGATGAATATTCTTTAGGTTTTACTATTCTCATGTGGAAATTCTACTCGCACATACTACATTGAATATATATATTTTATCTTACAGACCCAGATTTAAATAAATTAAGTATAAAATGAAAAATGTCTTTTCGGTAGGGTAAAATTTGCAGCTACTCCATGGAAACTTTAACTGGTCTGGTACGATATGTCGAAATTTAAAATGTCGAAACTAAAAATACCGAAAAAATTTCGAAAAAAATAGTTAGAACATCAAAAATGTCTAGAAAAAATGTCGAAAAAAATATCGAAATAATTGGGGTATTCACAACGGTGTAGTAGTATCCGCAATTCACTTCCGAGTGAATTACAACCCCTGCCAATTTGAATTCAAAGCGCATTTGATTTAAATTCACCCGGAAGTGAATTCGGAACCTGCTTGATTATGTATATTTTTATACCCTTCATGAACATTAAATCGTGTTTGGATTCGATGTTTGTATGTACCAGAAGAAGGGAAAACCCCCTAAAGTTATACCAAAATCATCAAAAGGACGAGTTGAGTCGATTAAGCCATGTCCGTCTGTCTGTCTGTCCCTCTGTTAGGTACACGGTTGTGTTTTTTTATACATAATCTACTAATCATTTGTCGAACGGACAAATTCGGATCACTATAACTTACAGTTCCAATACACCTGATTGTTCAGATATGAAAAATCTATCAAGATCGGTCAATCATACACAGTATATTTTTGATGCCACCGACATAGCAATAATAAAGAAATTTTAAAATGTTAATACAAAGTTTCCAACCTTTTTTGAACATTTTCATTTTGAAATGATACGATTTCGAGATTAGAAATATTTTTAAATTTCTACATTTCTGTTTCGACATTTTAATTTTCGACTTATCGTATGGCTCCCTCCTTAAACGCTTTTGATTGGGTAAAACCAATAGTATTCCGCCGCGACCTAAAGGTTTCTTTCAGAAACCAATTCACAAATATTCAACACATTTTATTGAGCTTGAGGCCGATTTTGATGAAAAACTATTGCGGCAAAGCAACAATAATTTGGAAAAAAATGGTAGAAATGATACATAGCTATTTCGGAAATCACGACATTTCATCATCAGATTTATTTCAGTGGGATTCGATCCAACGACCCCAGCCGACTCGGCCAGTTGGCTACGCACCGTGCTAAGTTCGTCTTGTAAATTCCTGTTGCTTTTTACCACTTTTTCATTAGTTAAGCCAACTACAATCAAGCGCAGCTATTCCAGTGTTATTTAAACTTGCTCATGTGGTTATATGAAGACTAACAAATTCATTTATACATCCATACGTATGTATGTATGTATATCAGCAAAAATCTAGGTCCTGCCGTGCTTATGTGAGCATAATTTTGTAAGAAACTGCATACTTGCACTCCTATACCATTTTTACGTAAAAATCAAAACCCAAAAGAATTCTCCATGTTAAGTGCTGTCCGTTGGGTAACCGCTTACACGCAAAGCCCGTTTAACAGATTTTTATGTGACAACTCTCATGCAAAGCTAAGTATGCATAACTGGGCCTTTATGCGGCGATTTTTTGACAGGCGATAATCGCCTGCAAAAGTGGACTTGCTGTCTACTTTGAGGCAAGCGATTTTTGAATCACCATTTACACGAGCGATTTTTCCAGAGCAATGTTGAATCGCCTGGAAAATCACCTCATGTAAAGGCAGCTTTACTCAGTTTGCATCTGCGCATCAACATATGATATCGTCACTTCTGAACGTTCGTATGCTCCATGCATTTCAGGCACAGGATCCTCCCAGGGCATGGGAACTGCACCTTGGTATAAACGCCTGCGCTTAGAGATATTTGCCTGCAAGTAATAAAATCATTCGCGTTGAAATGATTTTCACAGACACGGGAAGAATCTTCTAATTGAACACCGCAGCGGTTCTCCCAACGAAGTCTTCTAACTTCGCAACTAGTCGCCTTACCGCCCTGGCTCTTGCTCCTTTTAATTTTTTTAATTTTAATTGGTGCAACGGAAATGGAGCAACGGAAATGGTTGGGGCTGAAACAAGTACTTCTTGTGTGTATGCAACGGACATGATGCAACAGAAATTATGCAACGGAAATGGTGCAACGTAAATGGTTGGGCCTGAAACCAGTACTTCTTATGCGTATGCATATGGTATGAATTTAACAAAAACTTGCTAATAAAAGATTAGAGAAGACATGGGCACTTTTGCCCGTATGGGAAAGCGAACCCATTTCGCGGGCTAGATCTGGGGAAAATCATGGGCAAACGGGAAGGGGCAACAAATCTTACTAATACACGTATAGCAATGAGATCCACTGCACACGCATTCTGGAGTAAAAAGGCTCACTCTCCCAAACGTACGCCACATACACTCCTCGTCATTTGAATAGCTCAACTTTTTAATCTTTAGTATTTACACTTTTAATTTTGTTTATTTAATATTCATTATATCCGATTTTAAAACTTTATACAGAGTTAAAAAAATGTCAGCAAAGGGGTACAATCAAGGTACATTGAACAGGTAGTATCAGTAGAGCAGCTGATTTGATTTATTTTCAAATTATTTGGTCTCGAAAATGTCAAATATTTTTAATTTTTTCTCACGAAAATTATAAGTTGTTAAAATCCATTTGCTTGTGAAACCTTTTTCCATACAAAACAAGCGATTGAATAGCAGCTTTTGGAACGTTCGCCCAACTCGGCAGCACGACCGCTGATTACTGGGCCTTGCAAAGGATGGATCAATGCTTCGAGAAGCAAACAAATTTACTAGGAAAGAAAGTTGCATCAATTTTTATTTTTTCCAATTTCAATTTTTTATTTTTTATAATTTTTTGTATTTCACATGGCACGCTTTGATTTAGAAGAAAAAATTCAGAACAGTTTTTGACACTTTCGATACCAGAAGCAACAACAAAATACACGCAAATGTTGTTTTTGCTCTACTGATACTACCTGTTTAATGTGCATTGGGTACAATAAAGTGCACGTTTCAAGTGTCTGTAAAACAGCGGTGATTTTTGACAATTTTTTTGGTGATAGTGCTGCGCATTTTCTCTCATAGAAAGTATGCTTGACAAAACTTTTATATGGAATAAAATGCGCAGCACTGTCAATAAAAAATAAATGAATTCGAAAAATCGGGGCTGTTTTAGAGTCACTTCAAACTTGCACTTAATTACACTATAATTGAATGGGCTACAAAACTGCATATCAGAAATTTTTCTAAAAATATTATTAACTTATTCACTGCAGGTCATTAGGATGGCACACTCCTATGTTGACCTTTTTTAAGAACTGTTTCCAGCTCTCGAGAAAAACGAAAAAATCATATAAAATGCTGCCCAAGAAATGATAATAAACTTTCTTTTAAGTTTTAGTTTGTAAAAAATTTTAAAATTGCATTTACCCGTAGAATATGCTATATCGTCACTAGACACGAATAAAGGCGCGAGCTCAAAAGTTGACGGCGAAAAAAGACGCATGAAAAAATTTCAGCGTCAAATACTCTTAACATACTTCGCCAAAGTTTTTTATAAGCATCCTTTTTCGCAAAATTTTTATAAACGCTTTTTTCACCGTCAAAACACCAGCGCGCCTTTATTCGTATGTAGTGACGATATTTTTACAAAAAATTTATATTAAATAAACAAACGGAAAACTGTAAATACTAAGAATTGAAAGGGTGTGCAATTCAAATGACGAGGAGTGTATATGAGCAGATGTGATCACTACCACAAGTAAACGCGAGCTGAAAACGTGATTGTGTTAGTGTGCCAAGTGAAGGTCAGCTAGTGATCAAATTTGCCAACAGGGCTGCCAAACATACATAGCTATGAAGTGCCATATTGAGGATAAAAAAGTGCTAAAACGTGCCAAATAGAAAATTAAAAGTGCCAAAAAGGTGTCATTCTCTTTAGTTCTTCCCATTAGCATTAAAATTAGACAAATTAAAACAAAAGCCCAATGTCAAAGTAAGATAAACCAGTTGTATACACTATAGAAATTAGAAAATTTTAGTTGAGAAAAAGAAGTACACGCAAAGGATTTCACAAATATGTATTTAAATTTGGCTTTTTTTGAAAAATTCAGTGCCATTTCAAGTAAAATAGTGCCAAAAATGGCACGGTTTGAGCCAAGTTGGCAGCCCTGATCGCCAAGTTTTTTATTTAAAAAAGCACCAAAATACCGAAAATAGCGCAATTTTCCCCAAAAAAAAACACCAATTTTGTGTTGCTGTGTTTAATGATATTTTCGCATATAAATCAGTATGTTCAAATATTTTAAGGAATCACACAATGAAACTTGTAAATTCTTTTTTTTTTTTTTTGGGCTAATGTTGTAAATTTATTTGTGTATTTGTATTTGGAGCTTTTCGTCCGGTGTGTTGAAAATAAAAATAAAAGTTTATTTTTTTTTCCTACGCGTTTCGTCGCATTTTCGCGTCATCTTCAGGGAGTCCGTTTATTAATTTGCAAAAACGAAAAACATTATTAGTAACAAGCAAAATTATTTAGAACAATACAAACATACTTAGATTTCAACATATTTGACTTACATTAACATAAAAATTAGTTTAATTATTCACAATTTTAAAAAACGACATAAATACATTTTCCGGACACCACATTTAACATTTAGCAACTTCTTT